AGTTTTTCATTAGTTTCGTTTAGATCTAATCTTGGGAAAGTCTGTCTTCTAAGACGCCATTGTAAACAAGTGAGGTTTCTGTTCAATAGCCGTGCGCACTGTTTCCTCGCCCTTGAAATTCTGGAGTGTACAACCACGAAAGCGGAATAGAGAATCTATCTATACATCTCTAAATCTACACCTTCTAATTTTTTTTGCATCTCTCAGGATTTATTGCTCCATTCCAGTAGAGTGTAAATATAGTAGGCCAATGACTTTCAGTTGATGTTAATGCACTGATAATTTTTTTCAACGAAAGGTGGCCCAGCTAGTATTAAGTATAATAAGTAACTTTCTCATTCAGTTTAATTTTGTCTCTGTGCTTAACAATAGCACACAAGTGGATAAATTATACACTATAATAATCCAGTTGATCTTAAATCTAGATCGGTTTCAGGTACGTTTACTTTACTTTAACGTTTTCCTTCTTCTGGTATCCTTAGGATGTTGAGGGGAGATGCAGGTTTCTGTCCTGTACTAATGGCGTACGTGATAGAAACATAGCATGTTGTTCCAGGACCCTTTTAACTCCATTCAGTCAGGTCGTTCTTTCCCTTCCTTTAGATGTGAAGCCAGATTCTCGGGTATGGTGAACTCTTTCCGCTAGTTGCTTCTGTGGCATTCTGGTTATGTTCGAACCATTTGACTCTGTGACTCAATAAAATTAAAAACTGATGGTATTCCAGTTTGAAGGCGGTCTCTTCTAATGATATCGATGGTTTTGCGGAGACGCCCCATTTCGTACACATTGATTGTTCTTTCTTATCCTTTATTTAGGGACCATGTTTGGCACTGGTATGTTAAGGTTGGTATGAAGATACTACTGTATTGGTAAGCTGGGCTTTCACCTCGATTGGGATGTTCTTGTGACTGAGCAGGAGTGCTAGCTGGTAAGTCTCCGCATTCTATTAGCAACTGTCGCCAAGAGGCTATAAAAGACAAAGCAAACTAGATCTAGATTACAGGGTTGAAACCTATAAGTCTTACACAGGTTCAGAGGAGAGGGAAGTTTGTGTGTTTGTTTTTGCAAGTGTTTTACATACGGCGCTCTCAACTGCATAAGGTCATATGAACGCATGGAACACATTCAACATTTTCAGTCTGGTAGGAATCAATTAAAAATTTTGCCAGGTTGCCTCGCGAAAATTATTTTTATCGATTTTAGACCACCAAGGGATCTTTAACGAGTGCAACTTGCACATGGGACCCCTGAGATTTCGTGCCCTTATCCGAGAAGGCTAGGTGTTAAATCTTATCTACCCTAAGATCAGGGGTGTGGCTGAAAGATAGCATAAGAAGGAGCCTATGAGTAACAGTAGAAAGGCTGCAGGAAGTCAGGAGCCCATAGGGGGTGGAGGTGGTGGGGGAGGGGAAGGGGGTCGAAAATGGAGATGAAAGCAGGCGATAGAAGTAGAAGATGGTTAGAGAGCAGAAAAGGAGGTGAACTAAAAGGAGGACATTTTAGAGAAGAAAACTTTCCGTCGCTGCTAGGTTTCGAATGAGAAGCGGACACCGTAACCTCAAGACCACGGGCGCCCCTCGAGTCACAAGTGAACGGAGACGCAACAAGAGAAACATCACCACATTGTAAAAGTGTGTGTGTGTGTGTGTGTGTGT